TTCCTGTGGTTATCTAGGACATCTTCCAGAAAGAAACCGTAGTGAATGTCAAGGTGGGTAAAGTAAGGTCACTTGATGGGATAGACTTAAGGTCACGGCATGTGTGTCAATGACACATAATTCATCACTATGGTAACTTTTTTTAGGTCACAGCAGGCTTGATTCATTACTTATATTCTTGAGGATAAGAAAAGTTACTGAGGTCTTTTGTTGAATGTTCATTTGTAAAGCTCTATCCTCAAGTTGGCAATGAGGCTTAGCTACCTGTTCCAACTTGCCACTGGGTGGTGCAGAAATAATATCTTCATCGTTTTCTTTCACAAGCCTTTTCAAACAACCATTCCAGATGCCGCTTGGAGGATAAATCATGACTGTGGTGGTAGGGGGTATGGACTTGCTTTGGCTGGAATTTACTGCACTTTTCCTTTGCCATTAACCTTACCAGACAAAGGGGAAGCTTTTGAAAATTTGATATGCCAGAAACAGTATGCATTGTACAATCCAATCCAACTGATGAACGTAGATGTATCATTGTATGACTGGTGTTAGACTTTAGAGGTTCAGTCACTGCCTCGAGACATCTATAGGTCCTCCATACGTAGGGAACCTCTCCTTTCTCCATTTGCTGATCATGTCAATTGGGTGTGATTTTAGTTCCCCTATGCTGCCTGCTATGGTTCCCATTCTAGCTCCCCAAGTTTGTAGCCACACTGTATCACAGTATGGGAGACCGATAAACTTCACTAGGATAGCACCCAGGTTTCTATTAAAAAGGAGCATGTATGGGAGCCCCTGGCCAGTAAACTAAGTACAGGTAACATGGAGCAAAAATTGAAAGACCCATAGCAGAATAGGTTAAAACATTATCCAGTGTGCTAGACTTTGGGTCTTGTGTGCAGGTCTTGTGGGCTATAGTAGATCTGACATCCAGTCTAGGTAGTATATGGCACCTTGGCTAGTAACCTGCAGCTTCCCTCCTGGTGCTGAGAATGACTGACATTCCCCTCACATACCCAGGCTGGGAGACTCTGCAGATGGAGGGGAACTCAAGTGGAAAAGTATCTGCAGGCTTGGAATTTCCACATTTATGTAGTATCAGGATGTTTTCTTGGTGTCTGGTATCCCTATTAGATGGACAGACTGTCCTTCTATCTGTCACCTTTAGCTGTGTTGATAAAAGAAAATGAAGAAAAGGTTAGTAGGCCATCACAGTGGGGTGTCTCTAGTCAGCAATATTCAGGATCTACTACCAGCAATAGTTGAGATTACTCAGTCACAGAATGATACATTGCAGGATCACAAAATGATCACTCAGTCCTTCTAGTAAAATAGATCATTGAATAGTGTTGCTTGATTCAGTCTTTACTGTATTGTTTTTGTAACCGATTTAAAATTGTTCTGTCAGCTATTAGTCAGTAACCAGATCAATATGGACATCTGTTGAAAAGGGACATAAAAACTAGGATGTCATGGAAACAATGAAGCTTAGTATTAGTTTTATCATGCACATCTCAGAGAATAACCATCCATTCAAGAGCACATTTAATTGCTGTTGACCTATTTTCCAGACAAATAAGTCAGTAACTCCTCATGGTGAAGTTGAAGCATAGTGTTGAAGCAGCTTAATAGTTTGTTCACTGAGTTGGGATCTTCCAGGCAAGTGTGTGTTTAAGTATGCTGGTTTGTTGTATATAAGAGTTAAGTCAGGAGCTATTCAATAGGAAAGATAGACTGGCTGTGTCTTTACTTCACTTACACTATTGACCATTGAGTCACCTTCTCACCTTGAAATCTCACCTTTCAGATTATTGAATACACATGTTGGCTAATGTCTGCCCCTATTCTAGCTCCATCCCTATGCTTTATGTATCTATCCATTTTTGTCCCTATCTATCTCTAGTGAAAAAGATAATTGCCTGGTAGACATGTTGGCTCATCCCCAGTGTTTAGACTCCAGTGTTGTGCAGTGCTATTTATGTCCTCTCTCCATTTGTGGCAGATAGACAGGGAGTTGGGTTTCCAGTGTCACCTGGGTTATCAGTTCCATCTTCCCCACAACAACCACAGGCTGCCTGCCCCTCCTCCAAACTCTGTTTACTCATGTGGAGCTTGTGTCTATCCTGCCCTTCTCTGATCTTTCCATTACTTTTAACAGCTTTTGGACATAGATATTATATAATCATGTTGTCAGGTTACATCCCTGTTCTACTCTATTCTTGAGTTGCCTACTTCAGGCCTTGCACGCAATATATTCTCTTCTCTGTTGTAGGTTAATTTTCCTGGTTTGGAGGTAACCTTTTACGTCTGCTGGCTCTCCTTGTCCTGAAAACTGGATGACCCTTCTGAAGAATGCCCGCAGAGAGAGATATTTTCTCAAACTTGGAAGTTGACCTGTTGTAGCATTTAGGGAGAATCATGAGGGGAAAAGTAGGTTTGCTGAAGATTGGTTCTGAACTTCTGGCTGCTGAGTGTTCTCTCCTGTGGTTTGGAGTACTGTTCAGTATGTCCACGTCAAAGGCAGACACATGCTTTTCATTTGCCTGAGATTTCTTGCCTGTCTGGAGGCCCTTGCAGGTCAGAATTCCAGCTCCTCTAGGAGGTAGCCTGCCTTGTGTACAAATCCCAAATGATATCTCCTTCATTACACACTTGAACAGCTCCTAGTATATCCCTTCATAACTTGTACAAATATATATGGCATTATTGAGGAGAATGATGCTTAATGGTCGAAAAAAGAATCAATTAATAGAGACAGAAAAAGGTATTTATCCTTCCAAGACCAACCATTGCCATGTGGAAACTATTTACATGTCCACTGACTGGTCCCTTCCCAAAAAGGCAGGCGCCCGCAAAATAAATGGGATTTGATGCTTTTGCCATCCAGGGCAGGGATTGGCTGCGTATATCAATTTGCAGGCACCCAGACTGAAAAGTCGTATTACCTTAGATCAACTTTGAAGAAAAACAGGATTTGTAGATAGAAGAGCCTGGTCTAGTTGAATCAAGGATATTGGTTGCTTATGCACTTACTAAAAGAGTTCACTGGTAGAGGAGCTTTCAAGTGGCATCTGCCATCATTCTATAGCTCCGAAAAGGTCTACAAAGCCTCTTTCAGGGATTTCACAGGATGCTGTTTTTGTTTTGCGCCATAAAAGTTACATCTAACCTTTGATTTCATGCTTCACTGCGAGGTCATAAACACTCCCAGTTGAAGACTGGGTTACGTCACCATGAAAGGTTATCTCTCTGGCCCCTTCCTGCAGGGGTCAATGACTTATGATTGTAGAAAGTAAGAGTGGGGGACAGGGGGAGACAGACAGACAGTTCATAACTTGGTTTGACTGTGGCTATCCCAACTATGCGCTACATCTGGTGGGGAGGGGACCTACAAACAGATGGTGGGACAGGGTGCATTCTGGTCTTGCTTTTAACCAGGCTCCCGAATCCCATGTTTGCATTCCTTCATCAGCTATTGACCAAGTTTCTTTTCTTCTTATGTTTAGTCTATCACCCAGCTTTTGAACAAGAGAGGATAGAGGGATCAATGAACTCACAGGGGTTATTTAGATAGGGGTCATTTAGATAGTGGTCAGCCTTTCTGAAATTCAAATGGTTAAGACTACACATGTACATAAGAGTTGAGACAATTGGCATACCTGTATGTGTCTCATTGGTGGGAAATCTTTACTTTACCAATGCATGTACAGATGTATGTGATATCTTATAGGGTTTTGTTAGACTGTAGATGCACTGTTGCTTATCTTTAATATCTTATATATTGTACTGTATTAACGCTTACTTGAAAATAATTTTGCCCATCTTTGAGAAGCTAGGACTTAAATTGTTATACCCTTGTATCCACAATCACTAGCTTTGTGAAAGAATTCTATCGTGCCCAGTAACAGCAAGCAAGTCAGCAGCTGTCACTGTGGTTTTCTTTCATTTTGGCTAAACTTCACCTTGGCTAAACATTCTTTCCTGATTCATCCCTTGATACCCCTTTTGAAGATCTGAGCAAATCGTTGGTTCCACTCTTTGTAACCCAGTAACTATGCAGGAGAATTCCCAGAGCCTTCTAATCCAGCATGCTTCTTAGCAACCCCAGTAACATTTTCAAAGCACTTCAAAACTGTGCCAAAAAGAAGCAGCGAAAAAAATGCTTAAGCACTTAAAATAGTTGTTCTACCAAAACACTGGAGTATTCCCCTTGTTGATTCAAAAGCTGTACTGGGAATTAGTACAAAGGTTACAGATGCCATTTTGCTACTACTACTAGGGTAAATTGGCACCATCAAAAATGGCACTTGCCAAGCATCTAACTTCAAAGTCTTGTGAACTTTTCATAAGGTGAGAGTCATGCAGGTGGCGATTGTGTTGTTGTACCTTTTAAATCTTGACCTTTAACAGAAAAAAAATGTTGAAACTGGTACTGAACATCCCTAAATTTTAGCAAAATACTATAAATATTTTTATCATCCAGCCTGCCATCATTTCTTGGCTTGAAAAAGTCACTCTTTACTATTTGCTTAAATCCTGTCAGTGTCATTCTTTTGGACATTCCAAGGGGCAGTAGGAGCAGGAAACACTGGGCCTTTATCCCTTGAGATGCAGAAGAGTTCTTTTGAAGTGTAGATAAATACAGGTTTACATTGTCTGTTACATTGTCTGTTACATTGATGGATTATGTGATGCTGTAGATGGATGGCTGGTTTGCTAGTTTGATATTTGGCCACTGACAATGTGTGACATGGATGGATGGATGAAGACAAGCAACATCTAATGGATGGATGGATGGATGGATGGGTGGGTGAATGGATGGATGGACAAATGGATGGATGGGTAAACGGATCAAGGAATGGATAGAACTATAGATGCCAAATGGATTGATAACTGTCACTCCTTAAGATATTGACTAATTATCAGTACCTAATTATAAGGCTACTTATGTCTGAAAAAAACAACAACTCTGTAATAAAATTCTGTCTTTGTTCTTGTTACAGGGTCTGCAGACCTCATAGATATTTTTCAATTAAGGGGATTACCAAAGGGGATCAACAAAGCAATAGGTTTCTGTGAAAACCGGCCGGATGGACCTGATGTGGCATACAGAGTTTCAAAAGATGCGACGCTGGTGGTTCCAACCACAGAGCTCTTCCCAAGTAAGTAACTTCTGCTTTGTTTGTCTAATCAACCTTTACGAGTAAGAATTGACAAACAGATGACCAAAAGAAAACTGCTTAGACCAAACTTGATCTTACACATGAGTTTGAATCCATAAACAAGGAACTCAAAATTGTATGGCTTTAGCCTATCTGTTATGCTAACCTTCTTTCTGATTGCAGATGATGCAGAGAAGACTTTCCCTGTTGACTTCTCGGTGTTATTAACAGTGAAGCCTTCGCTTGCATCACGGTCCTACCTCTTCACTGTCATTGTTGAAAATAATGTACAGTTTGGTGTACAACTGGCTGACGTCGACTGGGTATTCCTGTATGCGGACGGCGAGGGCAGACCAGGCTTCGAGGAATCACCCCGATTTAACCACAATGTAGCAGACGGACAGTAAGTGAAAATTACTACAGCAACTTTTTTCATATCCTGGATGCCAGACCTATAACATGCTAGGCCCAGGGTTAGCCAGCGTGAATCAAGGACTAACTGAGGGGGGCTGTGGTATAATTTCCATGGGGGCATGTTGGCCCTGGAAGCGACTGAAACTGTTTAGGCACCCAGGCAACTTTTTTCATTGAAATGAAAGTTTGTATTGGCAGTTAACACGGTACAGAGTTCAAGTATTGTTCCATACACACCAGGGTACAACGACTTTCATTCAACAGATCTAGAGATATAAGTTTGTTCCCTCTACATCAGGCCTTAATAAGGAAAATGTGTTGGACAACAATGTCTGTAAATTTTCATGAATATTACTGACTCAGTGGCAGGATTGAGTGGTCCCTGGCATGATCAGTAGTGCAGGAGATAAACTGGAGGTGGAACAGAGATGGGCAGTTTTGAAACATGCTAACTGGTAGATCTGACCCAAACAGGAAAGGTCAGACTGTTATGTCTTAGAGGACAGCTGTTGTGTCTTGATGAATCGTACACCGCCGCAAACGTCTCCGCTTTACAGCGGCTCTAACTACGTGTGTATTGCCCTGCGAAAGGTTAATTCAACCTTCCTAACATCTGACACGATGATGACATTTGACATCAAACAGTGGTGACCTTTTCTTTGAGATGTGGTTGCCATTTGTTTCCTCTGCTGTCCTTTCAATGAATGCAGAGGTTGAACTTTTACCCTCAATGAATCTTATTAGTCAACCTTGGAGTGTTTTTAAAACCCTCTACCATTTTAAACCTGAAACCTCATATGGAATAGAGAATTGGTAGCCAAATGGCTACTTTAGTGTGCCGAAGGTTAACCTTCTCCTTTGGTACCAAATTTGTATTGATGTGAGTAAGAGACAAGGTTAAAATCCTATTGCAGAAAAAGACAGTGGCAATTTTACCATTTAAAGGTTCTGCAAGGGTGTAAACTCCACCCTAACAGGACATAAAGGAGTCAGATTGCCTCTTGATAATTACACAGTATAAGGTGTCTCATAAGGACAGGAAGGTACATCTGAGGACATGGAGACTCCTGTACGTGTCGGTTCCCTATATGCATACAGGCCTGTCCAGAATGCTTATACGGAACACTTCAGTTGGTCAAAGTAAATTCCTTTCGGATCAGTGAAAGTGAATTCCTGGCCAGGCCTACTGTCAATATTAGAAGAGGGTGATATTTACCCTTGCCACTTGAGTACCTATAGATCTACTCCCTCTGTTTGCTTTGCACCAAAACAACACACTGGGGCTGCGTGGATGGGAGGCCTATGCTTTACTTCTGTATTGTTGTATGGAAGACTTCTCAAACAGTTTTGCTGGACAACTCACTTGGTTTGCATTAAGGAGGTTAAAAAGTTTAACCTCCTTGGTTTGTATGAACCAACAATGTGTAAGCTGAAGTATGGTGTGTGACATTTGAGAACTAAACTTTGCAGAAATATACAGCCAAAGATTTAGAAGTAAACATTTCTCCTCAGCAAGGTCACAGACTTTTTATATTTGCTCTTATGATTTTCATACCTACATTTCTTTATTATATTTACAAGTCATTCAGAAGATGATTGCAACAAAAAATGTATTGATCTCTGGCACTAATTCCCAATCAGAACCATTTGAGAATTTGGCATATACTTTGTCAGTTTATATCTCATACATCCTCAGAAAGAAAGCTGCCATTAAAATTTGTTGAAATTCTACCAGAAGCCAATTATTTTATGTGATCCCACCTTTGATGATGGACACATAGATGTTAATAGCAGAAATTTTAACTTTACCTGTAACGTTATACAGTATGTCTGTAGTGGATAAACTGTAAACTGACACATGGTGTAACACACTGGGTCTATTCTTAGACTTGGTAAGTACATGCTGCACAAGGGACTGATTAATCTGAGCCTTCCCACAACTGGGCATACTCCCACTCTCTTCAGTAACTGGTGGGATCTGTAATGGGCTTGAGGTGTGCCTTGTTTCCTCAAACAATGAACAAATGGCATATCACCCTCTCCGAAGAACTGGCATTCCCTGACAGAAATGTGCAAATTGGTGTTCTAGACCTGAACACCAACAGCTAGGCTGAGACTTGTACTGGCGACCTTGTGGCAAAGAATTGGAATTTCTGAAAACTCATAATGTACACATAATGACACATGACAAAACTACCTAGACCCAAGGAGGGAGAACCTCCTTGTTAGACCACTTTGTACCTCAGGTTTGATGCTCTGTATGGCTTTGTGGCATCTTACTTTTACTTCAAAGTGTAAACATTTTGCAGGCTTATTTCTTTTAGAAAATCACAATTTAGCACTCAGAATGTGGCCCTATCTGGTCTCTGTAAGTTTGCCATGCTGCAAAAGTTGTTGGCATCAACAACTGCAGTGTTGAATCTCTACTCTTCACTGACAGCAGCAGCAGCAACTTAATGTTTAGCCGAGGCAAATAATCCACAGGCAGTAGCTTGCGGACAGAGAGCACATACCACTGTGGTCAGTGGGTGCCCAGACTCGTTTGCTTGGAAATATTTGGTCACTTGCCGGGGACGGGGATAGTGTAGGGATTCCCTGGTCTGACTGCCAGACGTCTTGGAGATGCTCCAAGTGGGCCTGTTCTGCCCCGGAGATGCCAAACATTGCCGCTTCTGTGCGAGGGCTGTGGCTACAATGCCCTGCCGACACAAGAAGTCTTGCCCCTGAACTTGGATGCATCACATGGCCTAATGAACCACAGTGGTGTGGGTTTCCATCGGTAACCACCAATCCTGCTGCTGAACTAGAAAGTTGACCAACCTACTTTCAATTTGAATTTCAGTTGAAAAGGCTGCAATTAAATTGAAGTCCACAATTCACTGTCGATGTACATATTGAAAAAAAATTCCAGGAATCTTCCCAGTTGACTTGATAATCGTTCCCATTCTGAACAACTCAGTTGCAGTTGTAGTTCAACAGGTCCTGATCATGAAATGACAACACAATTCAACATTGATTTTTCCATCTTATTTCTTAAGTTGCACAAGGAAAAGTTACAAATAAAGACATCAAATATTTTCCGAAGAAGTTTATATTTTAGATTACTTTACTGAGGTGTATTTTCTGGTCTCTCATCATCTCAGGTGGCACAGAATAGCCTTCAGTGTACAGAGGAACAAGGTCAGCATGATCATGGACTGTGACATCAAAAACGAGGTGACCATGGACTTGGACCGCTCCCCAGGCGCCGAGGGTGCCATCAGGACGGACGGCATGACCGCTTTCGGCAGACACTTCTTCCGGGAAAATGTTGCTTATGAGGTGAGTGTTTACAATTGACAATTTAGCACTCAGAATTTGGCTCAATCTGGTCTCTGTAACGTAAGTGTAAGTTTGCCATGCTGCAAAAAAGCTGTTGGCATCAACAACTGCAGTGTTGAATATTATTATTATTTCTACTCTCCACCGACAGCAGCAGTAGCAGCAACTTGGTGTTAAGCCATGGCAAATAATCCACCATTTTCATTCAGATAACTTCTCTCTTAGTCTAATGGTCATGTTGTTAGATTTTCCTATGCTTCTCAATTCAAGAAGTGATTCGTGTTGTTCAGTATGTTGCAATCTTTGGTTTCAGAATGAAGATATGAGAGCATATGGTAGAACTGACCTCTTTATATCAAGGCCCCTGTTTATATTTCCATCTCTGCCATGGTCAAGTGGTTTTAACCATTTATAGTTCAATGATTATTTATCTAACTCTACGAAGCTGTTGTCACCGGCGCTGGCACTCTGTGACAGCCTTAGGCTGATTGGGATGTCTCCACTGTCCGTCCTGCTGCAGTGGTGCAAATGAAAAAGTAAAAACGGTTTCTAATTCCACCTTTGGATTAAGGGGTCAAGAGATTTCATCCCAGCTCACCCAGTGGTTATCTCAACATACCTGAGTGTGAACTCTTGAGCAGTCGTTATATCTTCTAGTGTAGGCTGAAGGTTTGCTGCCTTTTTCAGAAGATGTCAGAAGCAATTGCATTGATAAGAACCATCACACCCTTACAAAAAAGGCATCTGCAAATGCTCAATGCACTGTTGATGTACCATGTCAAATGATCTCTTGAAAAATTCAGTTTAACCACAGTGTAAAAATGGGGAAAAAAACTAACAGCAATGACTAAGAAAATGCTTGTATCAAAACGTTATTGCACCTTCGAGGTGTGTTATTAGGGAAATACTGCAAGTTCTATATTGAAATCTATTGGTAGAATTAGTTTTTCCAACTTTCTAATTAAGGTTTTTATATACCTGGAGGCATTGTAGATCTACAGAGCATACAGAGTTGAAGGATTCTCTCAGTCTTTCCCTCAGGCAAATCTTAGTTTCTGTGACCCTGAACTTAATACAACAGACAGGAATGTCCCAGCAGGAGGAATGTTGCTTTATTGGGTACTTAATTTAAACCAGTGGGCAAACCAGTTGTGCCTGGAGGGTGGGTTTTATAAGGGCTGCCAGGATCTGATTACACCTCATCATTATCTCCCTGTCCTCTGCACAAACACAAACCTCTGGATTCTCTTATCAAGTCTGCTGGTTTCCAGCCGCATGTCTGATGGATGGGCAGTCAAAGTTGATTTTGCATGTAATGGCAGGAAAGAGAGGAAGTATTGGAAGATGATTAGAAGCCCTAACGTATAACATTACATGTATTTACTTGCTCTTCTAACTGAAGTTGTATACTGTAGATCCATGTAGAGCTACATGTCAAAAGTATGTCATTTGATCTGAATGTACAAATTGTAAGATTAAGCTGTCATTTGTGCCTCCAGCTTGCAAATCAAGAAATTCATTGGAAATTATCCATGAAGTAAATAATGATTTCAGTACATGATATGCGGAAAATGCCTCATTTGAAACCCTAGCATATGCTCATTTACTAATGCTGCATTTTAGTAGAATTTGAATTCACAAAACTAGAATTTCAGATACATTTGTAGTCTAAGGGAAATGACAGGGAAATGACATCTCCCAGCCAGGACAGCTTGCCTATGATTGGCTGATGTCTGTGCAGAGCCTGACCAATCAGCATTCGTGTCAAAACATTCTAGACACTGGTTCTATTTCTGACACCCTTGACTCACATTCCTTTCCTTCATACTTCCCAGCATTACACTGCACAAGGGTATCAAGGGTTGTTGACCTTGAGGCAAGAATGAGGCCAGGTGAAGGTCAGGGTCAAAGGTCATTCATCAGTCCACACCAATTTGTGCCCCTGACTAAAAGCTGCTGTGACTGAAGACCTGTAAAAACAACACTGAAGGGCATGTGTAGGATTGGGGGGACCCCCTTCAAGGCTGTTCACTATTCCAGATGCTTTGTACAGTACAAGGGCAGTGTAGTATGCAGATGACTTTGTTGGTTTGTCAGAAGGCTCTGTCTGACTCAAAACTCACAACCACTATACCTACCATCAATTCTTCTTCCTTGTCATCCTTAATTTTCCAAGATGTCCGAACTTTATCATTTCACATGCTGTGAAGGCAAAATCTTGATCTCGTCCAGAGACTGATTTTACTTAATTTTACTTTTTTGTTTCTTCAAACTCAAGTTTAGGATATACAAGACTTAGTGATTGTCTTCATTTATCATCAAGTCATGAAGGAAATGCTCCAGTATCACTTATCAGGCATCATTAAAATAGTGAACTTGAAAATGACACACATATTTCAATATTTTCTGCCACCCACCTTTCAGTCTGGCAAGTTCTTGGTTGATGTACCACAGAGCACCACATAGATGTCCTGTGGAGCTGACACAGTTGGATGGTAATAAATCACCAAGGCCAGAGGCACAGTTGGGTCCCCACTGTCAGAATCCTCCTATCCTCCTGGGCATTTAAAGCAAATTAGGGTCTTGCCAGACAATCTATAAAGAAAAACAAAGACTTAGATTAAATCCTGTCCCAAATAAAAGGAACAGACTGGAGTCCTGTTTATTGCATAAAATAGTGTCATTATACATTACATATACAGGTACATGTACTGTACATGTATATGCAGCCAGTCACAGTGGCCTCAATATAATGTAGATGTTTAGAGTGTTTAAAAGAATGTTGTCCCTTGCTGGGTTTTGTTTTAGGTGTGGTTGATTTACCTCATGTAGCTTTTTATCTTCCTCAGCATAGTGCAGAAATTGGCTAGTCAACAGATTGATTAATCCACTAATTAAGGAGTATGAGTGTTTCCTGTGTTAGTAATTAGTTAAAGGATTGAGAAGATTAGCTGACTTTGGTTGTACTTTGAGGATTTGTTGAGGGATCATCTACATAAACAGCTTCTGTGAGGAGCTTGTCTGTAATTTCACATAAGGTGATATGAAGACACAGCTCTGCATGGGTGGGCAGATAGCTGTAAGCCAGAAGAAAGGAGACAATCATGTAGATCTGATGAGTAGACTGTTCGATACAAAATGGTGGCTAATACATGTAGAATCTTAATCAGTATCACACACCTTATGGTGTGAGAAACTTCGTGTGACAGAAAAAAAGTTACTTAATGAAAATATGGGGGTTGAGCTGGAAGTTGGTGGTGGGATGGATTTTAAAGGGGTCAGGTACTAGTAGTTGTTGGGAGGAAGCTGGCTTGTGGGGCTGCTGGTACCCAAAGTTTTAGAAGAGTTATGTAGACTATAAACTTATTTAATGTAAGGTGTGTATAAGACATGCCACTCATCAAATTTCTCAGGCAGTGGTATCATTTTTATCAACCTAAATGATTTGATACAAGAATACTTTATCATGCTTTTCTGGATCATGAACAATCAAAACCTCAGTTCCTCCGTGCTTCAGAAACCTTCAATGATGTTACAGTGCCTAAAACGTGTAATAACATCAGGGTAGAGACAAAATGCAGGCTCATTGCAAGATTGCTCCTTACAACCTAAACTTCCTCTTCTAAGGTTGAACACTGTGTGTGGTAGATTGTTCCTAAAGCTCCTTGAGCAACAGACCAGATTGCTTGGAGGAGAACATTCTTACAGGTCTAGTTTCCTTTTCTTTGAGGTGTTGACAGTTAACAGAGAACAGTAGCCTCTTCCAGTCACCTTTGTGGCCCTGGTTCCTTTATGTATTTGTACCCACTTCCCCACAGAGTGGCCTTTTGCTAGAGGTTTCGACCATGCATTCACAACCTCTTGTTCCTTGGGAAAAACAATCATAAACACTAGTGTTTTACAAACATAGCAGAAATTTTCTCAGGAATAGTTTGAGAAGGATGGGGGTACCCCTGGTGTAAATATTTAGTCTGTGCCTTTGTGAATAGCATTGAACTTGAGGTAGATGCGGTGAGTACAGTAGGAGGGTGTGTCGAGTGATGGGAGACAAACTGTTAAACACGTGCCCACACCTTGACTCTCTCCATCCTTGGTTAGTGTGAAAGCCAGACTCAGTCGTCTTCACTAATAGCACAGTTAGGTGTGTACCAAAGTCTCCAGTGGGGTGGTCAGGGAATTCTTTGCATGCTACTTATTGTCCTACTGTTCTTTGAAACCTAAACTGCTTTGAGATTTCAACAATTAGGTCCAGGAGGAAATCACCAGGTGTCTTTGAAAGCACTTACTTCAGGGCAGTGCAACCTATCAAGTTCAGAGGACAACTAAGAAATTAGGTCTAGTTTGTTCTACTTTCATTTGATCGTTGCACTGCACTAGCCTCCATTCCAACCCCCCTTGGGTTTTTCACTTTTAAGAACTCAAAGCTTTCTTATAGTTACTGGGTTCCATTTGCTGTCCGACCAGAAAGCTTGTGTGTTGTTAAAAAAAAACATCTGGCGGGGTCTGCTTATACTGCGTCAGCTCTTTTTATCAATATCTCATGTATGATAATGTCATGGATTCCTTCAGGAGTCCTCCTACTCATCCCAGACCACAAGTTCATTAAGACACATAAAAGTTAAAATCCTTCCCACATCTCTTGCTGTCCTGTTCACCTGTCTTGTGGTATTTGGGGGATCACATTCTATTGTATTCCAACCCTAGGGTCAGCCTTTTCTTCCTCACAAGAGCTTTTCTGTGGTTTGGAAACTTTCCAAGCAATTGTCTGTTCAACTTTGGTTGCCAAAGTCTGTCCAAATAAACCAGAATACTACTAAATCTATTGGAGAACACTGTACCTTGTGTCGCTTTGTATCATATGAACCACCTCTTGTGTGGACGAAATGTCTGTTTCAACATTTCTTTACATTAGTGTTGTATCGGTGCTGAATGCTGTCTGGGTTTGAACACAGGTATTGTAAAAGACCCCCTTTCCTCTTCAAAAGTATTAAAATGAGCTA